ATGATTGATGATTGCCTCTAAGTCTGCATCGGAATGAGGAAATGAAATCTTTTTATAACAAAATGCAAGATAACAGATTTTGAAAGAATCAGTGTGCACCTAAAGCAACTTGTTTTGCTCTAAGTGCTTTATAAGTCATAAGCACTTTTGAAAACAAGTTTATTGCTACTTTTTGTGTATGTCTGTACATGAGAGAAAATATTTTCTATATGTATACTGGTGACATACAAAAAATGGATCTAGAATAGTAGATAGTTATAAGCGTCCCAACCTGAGTGTTGGTATCTGGACTCAAGTCATCCTTAAGAAGAATATGTGCTGACCCACCTGCTCAGACACATAACAGTTTTTAACCAATAAACCAAGAGTCCTTTACAGATTACCAACAAGAACAACAATATTTAAATAATTAAGAAGTAAATACATAATCCTTGGGAACATGATGTATCAATATAAGATACTATATATGGTCAATTTGCACCATATAGTGAATACAATACAATGACAATGCCCAACAATTTATAATAGGGTTGATTACAAAGCTACATTCACAGTGGAAACACTCAGAATGTTCAATGGGATTAGGAAAAAATAGTGCATAAATTGACACAAGATGATTCCTATACTTACCACAAAGCTATAACAATCAAGAATATGTATAATATCTGTGAAAGAATAAAGGGGATGGAGAGAAAAAGCCAAGAACAAAGACAGGAAAATATACTCAACTTTTGATCAAAAGACCAAAGGACACTAGATAGGAAAAGTGTGATCTTGACCAATGTTATCCAGCTCACTATGATTCTATGTGTGTAGAAATTAAATAAACACAGATCTTAAAACTTCCATAAAATAAACTCAATGTGACCCTCACCTGTTATGTTTCTGACCCTCCAGCTATTGACAGTTCTTCCAAAGACAGAAGCCCCATGCTCTAAAGTTCACTGTAAAAATGGAGGAGGTCTCCTGCTATTGCTCTGTGACCCCTTATGGCTCCTTGTGATTTCAGGTAAACCCAGCCCCAATAACGGCCAATCCCAAAAAAACCACAGAAGAATAATTTAAATTTTGCTTCCTGCTACAATATGTGGAATCTGCCCTATCTACCTGCACAACACCATGGACACTTGAGGAATCTCTGCAGATCAGAAAGCCCCTCTATCCCCTGGAAATGAATTTCACTGAATCACACCTCAGTAGCTGGTGGTAGCAGAAAGTTAAAAGCATTCTAATCCTATGTTGCTGAAGGATAATCCACATCACCTCTGTCTACCAGTTCCTAAACTATTTGTAACATTTATAAGACAAACCTGAAAGTGGAATGCAATATTCAGAACTTATAGAAAGAAGACTTTCAGCTTTCCATCATGCATCATAAGCAATGCCTGTGTGTGCACATTTGACAGTGATATTACAAGCATCATATCCTCCCATGCCAAGCTGTAGGCCTCCCCCTCCCCAGGAAATTCCTCACACGGAGACTAAGAGGACAAGGGCCACTCACTGCCCAGGTCACCAACCACATGGACCAATAAAACCACTGTCTAGCTGATGATTCATCCAAGTTGCAGCATAAATGACAGCACAACACACCTGCTCTGAATACCACACAATCATCATGGCCTTAATTGTGGTCCTCCTTTCAACTTCCTACAGCAGAAGCAGAGAAGAATCTTGGAAAGAACCTGCAAGCTAGAACTCTTATTGCTAAGTCTTGCCAGGGTCCCTCATTAACAAGAACCACCCAGTTGGGCCTCAGAATACTAGCAGCTCCTCTACTGGGTGAGCCGAGATCAAATGACTCAGACAACACAAGGTAGCTCTGCCCTTTCACCCCAGCAGACAAGGCCTTAGTCTGGAAAGTTTATATTTTAGTAGACATTCTTCGACTCTCCCAGAGCACTTCCTGTACCTTGTCCAAGGCACAGGGTCCTTTGTGTGCACATTCCATTACATACTCAATGTCCAGTGTAGCCAAAGCAGTCATTTACTTCTTAGCTGGAAAGTCCTACAGCCCAACATAGGTCACATCCAAACTCTGTTATTAAAGCAAAAAAGAGGCCATGAATTAGAAAACAATGAGAGGTCATGGTAGGGCTTAGAGGCAAGAAAGAGAGTGTGGATTGTAGATATGATGTAGTTTTTATGTCTAGTAATTATTTTGAAAAGATGAAACAGGCTTTAGGGCCATGTTCTCCAGAGCCTAGGTATTTGTATGAGAGCACACCAAGGATTACTCACATCTTTTCTCTCAGCCTGTACATCTTAAATCTGGAAAATAACAGTCCTGTTAAGCAGGGCCACAACTTTTTACAGATTCTCTATTTCAGTTGAACTAATGTAACTGCAGTAATTTGGATACATGATAAGGTCAGTCCTTTCCTCAGATTCTTGGTTGTCCTGGTCTGTAGATCTCAAGAAATGGCCAGTCAGGACATTTATGGAGCATCTAAAATTGATTACCTGAATCCGTATTGCTAATATGAACTATTGCAAAACAGGAAAGCTCTCATCCTCCTTCCTGCCATTCCCTTTCTGTGACTACATCACCTTCAAAGTTGGTCAGTGAACTCAGTTCTTGCATGGGTCCTTCTTTATTTGTAACTGCCCAATAAAAATCAGAGAAATTGGAGGACACTTATCCTTCTCACTGACCAGTCAAGGCTGAGCCTGGAAGGAATTGCAGGACTGTCTTTCCAGCACTGGGCAGCAGAAGAAGGATTAGGTGTTCAAAGCAATTCTCAACTTCATAGCTCCAGGCAAGCCTGTGCTACAGGAGATATTGCTCTAAACAGAAATAAATAAATAGCACTTGTGAAAGAAGGAATGAATTTATAATGACCAAGAAAAATTGGAGTTTAGAAACAAATAGAGATGAGCACTAAGGCACTTTAAAATAAAGTTAAAAAATGATACCAATGAGTGACTTTTTAAAATGATATGAATGGTATATTTTTAAGAATAATATGCCGGGCGGTGGTGGCGCACGCCTTTAATCCCAGCACTCGGGAGGCAGAGCCAGGCGGATCTCTGTGAGTTCGAGGCCAGCCTGGGCTACCAAGTGAGC